AAGATGAACAGTATTATTACCAGCTGACTGAATATATCCAATATCACCACGTTTAAAGCACCTGAAATTACGAAATTTACAAGAATTAAAAGAGTGGAACCTGCCACAGGGCAAACATTGACCGAACTTGTGCCCATCTTCGTGAACTGCATCGAAACTCCTCCATGAATTATCTGCATAACCTTCAGTATGCACTGGGTTGGGATGACGTGATGCAGTGGAATTTTTTATATCCTCATAAATCATTTTACGAAACCTTCCTTTTTTACGACATTTGAAATTTGCACGCTTAACATAGTCTAGCAGTAGTTCCTTGAGATTTGCATAAGAAAGCGAAATGGGCTTTTCCGGTAAAGCCAAAGTTTCTAATAAGCTGTATGCTTCTTTTCCGAAGAATGTGAGGAAATGTGCTACAATATTAACATCCTCATCATCTTCCTTGGTCATAGACCAAATTTCGAACCTTTCAAAATAATCCTCAAAAGCATCAAAATCTGAATGTTGTCCAGTCGTTCCATCACAGGCTCCATCGCGACGCCAATATGATGATTATAAGTATTTGAATTATAGTATGAACTAAGAATCCCAGAAATAACGTAATCGGATCATGAAGTACTAAATAAACATGAACGAATCTAATGTATTTGAAATTCAAAATCAAGCATTCAACAAGTACAAAGGAATCATTATTCCATTCAAACATCACAGTAACCCAATTCTTGGTTCCTAATATTTTCACTTATATGTATATATTTCTATTTTTCATGAAACCTATCCTGCAAAAATCGTTTTCACGATATTGAGTGTTTACGAAACGCGTGTATATGAGTTTGTTTTGTTTATCCGCCCACTTTGTGTCTTTACACACACAAGAGTGTAATCGGGCATACACTCACATATCCTTTTCTTCCAGGACGGCTAGAAAAGACAGAAAAGAAACGACGAGGTTTACGAGCAGTTAAAATATTCATTGTACGTTTTTTTCATTACTGTATTGTACCACATGGCCTCTTGTAATAGGGAAAATTACCAGACGCCGCTGAACATAGCAAGCTATCAGGAACGTGTTTAGCAACGATAAAATCTTTGGGTTTAAACTTCTGGCTGGCCACGTTTCAGGGTCATCACTACCCCACTAGGGCAAACGATCTGTAGCGGTAAATAAATCCTCAAAATAAATAGCTCTGTAAGTCTTCGACATTTAATGCTTACCACATTAGTTTTAATGGACCTGTGAAACTATGGTCTACTATGATATTAGTACTGCTCTAATAATAGACCTAATCCTAAATTTGTAGATTTGTCATGACATAACTGCCTAATCTATAAGATCTTACGTGGAAGTCACACCATCGACTGCACCAACTCACTGTATCGTATCAATTACCAATACATGATGTAGAACAAGGTTAGGCTAGAGAAAGAACAATATATTTAATATGAATAGGAGATATAAGGTAACATTCAGCAGAGACCACGCCTGCATGGCCGGGCCATGCCACTCGATCAACTCCAGTCCATTCAATTCATTCTTCGCGCCTTCTCCATCGTTAGGTATTTATTCGCGTTAAATATTGAATATCTATTTTCTGAGTAGTCTCGTGTTCAGCTTTGTGGACTGTGCGGTTATTGTTGGTTCGATTTCGAATTGTATGGGATCGTCGTGCGCCGAAGGTTACCAAGACTAGGAAGAATCCCCGGGTAATGATAAGCTGAAAGATAAATCAAAAAGAAGGCGGCAGCATCTGGTCGGGAAATACATGTAATAATTTTTAAAAAAATCTGCCTTCATGCTTAACACACTTAAAATGACAATTCGGGTGAAGATTATTTGAACTATAAAGAATGGGATTACAGTAATAATAATAAAACAATGCGTGTTAATAGCCGTTGGTTAATAACTTGACGTATAGGTAGTATGTATTTCGTGTTTAGAAATATTAAAGTAATGAATATTGTAGAAATTTTAATATTGGTATTAGTTTTGTTTTAAATTATGAAACCAATTAACACTTATGCCGGTAACCCGTCAATATGTGATTTCCAATTGCATCTGTATTAGTAGGCTAACTGAAGGAACAAAAGTATTACCATGGAAAAGAATTCCAACTAGTGTTCCAGTTAGTTTGATACGGTTTATTTAGTTACGGGGAGATTTTCTCAACCTCATTTTTACTTGACCGTGGTAGGATTTAGTAATACTACTAATACACATGAATGTTCATCAAAACAAAATTTAAATACATGAGTGATGATTATATGAATTTTGGACAGATAGCTAGGAACAAATCGTTAAACATGAGTATATTCGTAAGAGACATGCTCTAGACTCAATGTTCTGATCTGTGGCAGACTATTTATTTATATTTATACTTGCCGGCTGATCGGGCATACAAGTCAGTTGCAAGTATGCAGTTTATTATAAGGCGGAATACGATTTAATTGAGATATAGTGATTATAAGTTATTAAAATCAGTTAAGCCTATGAGTCATATTACGAAGTGATGTGGTGCTGCAAAATGTATTTAGCTAAATAAGTTTCTACAAGATGATTAATAGTGAGCGATGCTCATGTGATAATCAGGAAGATCATAAGTTGTAACCAAGGGGAGTACACTCCCAACTCATGTCTATGATAATGGCTTGAACCTTAGTCAGTGTTGGGGTAAATTCGACATTGGTGTTTTCGGTTTGGAGGAGATTTGCTCGACTGCTTATACTGATTATTTGCATGCATGATTATGTCGCTAAACCTCCAATTGGACTGACAAGGATTTGAGATATTTACTGAATGAGCAACTGATAGAGAAACATTCTGTAATCATCTGTAGTGAGTGAAGATAAAAGAAAAACAACACTAGTTATAGTTATAAGTCAATTTGCTGGCCGATTTTGTTAATAGTTTCATTAATTTTATCAATCATATTACGTGATTGTCAAGTCATAACAATGCTTTATGACGATATCCTGAAACTATTAAGTTTAACTAGTTATAGTGTTGATTGAGCATTAGTCAGTGGAAAATTGATATTGTTGCTTTAGGTAATTCGAAATTTATAACGTTAAAGAATCAGAGACGCCCAATTTAATTATAAATTTCAATTCAGAAATATTCGTTTAGTGTTAATTCTAGTAGGCTCCGGAGTTTTGATTTTAAACGTTTGTTTAGCTAACAGCTACCTGAGGATTCAGTTACTTGACTAGTGCAGCGATAGTACCTGAATTTGTCATCTTATTACCTAAACTATGTTCGCATTTCAGGCTGCTAATATGATAAACCAATTCATAAACCCAAATACGATTAACAACAACGACTATGATGGGTTTACTGATTAATATTAAAGACGACTCAGATGATTTCTAAATTTAGAAGACATGGAGATATAGGGTAATGTATGTACGGGCCAGATTAACATGCATGTTCTTGACGTATATGACAATTTAAAAATAATGAACATGACCAGAAAGGTAGTTTTAAAGTCAAGACTGCTTATGAAACTTCAGGCAGGAATGTAACGCATTATAAACATTCCGTAAGAAGTTAATGCATTTAGCCTAGGGACACTTACAAATATATGGCATATACATGTTAAGTACAAAAAATCATTAAGTAAAATAGTTGAACTCGCCTGGGTTATTTTCGAAAATTAGATTATTCAGTGGACGACATATATAACGCCATTCGTGAGTAGTAATGATCCAAAAGCATCCAGAATAAAACATGCAGTATGGCAATTAATTCCAGGGTGCTTGATGCTGTTGGGGTTTTTGGGACTCGCTCTGATCAGAACAACTGAATGAATCCAGATAATTGAGTGTGCAATTGAATGAGCCATCTAAAATGAACGTATTTTTTTGGAGAAGTGTCATCCTTGTTGTTTGGCAATGGAACTCGAGAATATGAAATTAGGCAGGCAGTGGTCGGAAGAAAAGATATTACAGGATAGTGCATAGTCTAAAACAGGATGAGGTGTTAAGCGAAGGAACACTAAGAATTAGATTCAGATAAACTATTCAATCCTTGATTGCATTGTTAGTCAATGTATATTTACGCTATTAACAGGTCGCATTTGCTAGAGCTTGATGTTTAAACAAGTCTATGTCGCTGAAGCAGGTAAATGCTATTAAAGCTTGTTAACGAACCATCAAAGCTAATTAGTTGATATAGATGATCAACTTTTATTATCGATCGAGCTAGTAAGTTATGTGAACTAATAGATATAACATTACGATAATATATGTGACCATTCATCAAAGCACTATCAGAATACTGCGTTTACAAAAATAGAAACCGATTGAGAAGGTTAGGGTGGAAATAAGGGTTAACAATAACAGATTGCGTTTCTTAAGTTGGGCTCACCAATGTAGAACTATGGTCTACCATGATATTAGTACTGCTCTAATAATATGCCTAATCCTAAGGACCCTTCTAGCTGAAGGCACTCGGCTACGTGTCCACACCAGATCACGGGTGGATGCACTGTGCTCAACTTCTCCTACATCGGTTAGCCAGATAATATCAGTCACTTTTGGATATATTAATGGCTTACCAACCACATCTTGGAACCTCTCTGTTTCTGACTTCTGATTTCACTGGGTTGGGACGTTTCAATTATAGGAGGTGTTACTGGTTAAGTTGTTGTCAAACCCCAAATACTTGTGGGATTTTCAAAACCAATTTACGGTTCGAATCAGTGAGTTATGGGACTCCCCACATGAAGTTAAAGTGACAGAACCCTCCACCGAGACTTTCGAAGGAAGGGTCAACGATGACCTTAGTCTTATAGATAATAAGTTGGACTACTTTGGATGTTACTTTTCGACCACTCCTGCTTTCAACTCAATCGTTTTGTCCTTCAGTTTCTAGTAGGAATATAACAAGAACCATGTATTCCCACTATCAAGCTGTTCTTTTAATATCCAGACGCAAGTCTCAAGTAACAGATGTTTCGCCTAATTTTCCAAGTTGAACCTGAACTTTATAATTTGCATTGTTCAGCGGGAAGACGATCTCTTCAAGGTCACGTTGCCGTCGTCTTTTCACGTGGTGACTATCTATTTCCCTTTCTAGGCTTTTGATATTAAAAGATGGTCAGGAAATGCTTAAGTAAATTATGAGTATTAATATTACTCTGTCTGTAGAAAACAAAAGTAAGCGCGTAACCTGTCACAAGCGATACAAAATTATCAAGAAGGTAAATTCATAGATGTTTGTTTAAATACTGGTTAGGTAAAAGAGCATCACCGCAAGTTACGTAAGGAAGCTAAAAAGAACTTAAACCGACATCGTAGGTTTAATAATTTTAATTCACAATGATTTCAGGAAAGGATCCTGGTGTCCCTAACATTCTACCCTTCAAAGAAAGTTTTCTGAAAGATGTTGCCGAAGCAAAAATGAAGGTAATGTATATTATTTCTGATGAATGGATTAGCTAGAAGAAGCAAGACTTAAAAATATAGAGTATTCTCAAACTTATAAGTCTCTGAAACATGAAGATGTTTCTCACTCAACAGTTCAGCACGATGTTAAGGACGTTATAAACCAGTCTGACGTTATATTGGAAGTATTGGATGCACGTGATCCAATGGGTACGCGCTGTTTAGATATAGAAGAAACTGTCCTTAAGGAGAATAAACGTTTGGTTTTGCTCATCAATAAGATTGGTAAGTGTTACATAGATAACCGTTTTAGACCTTGTTCCGCGATCTAATCTCGAGGCTTGGGTAAATTACCTACGCAAAACTCACACGGTCATAACATTCAAGGCAAATACGCAACGCCAGAGTAACCATCTTTCGTGTGGAAAACCATATCTTCTGAAAGATGGAAAAATGTAAGTATTCAAGGTTTTAATTTGTTCAGGCCAAGTAAAGGGTTCGGAACTTCTGAATTATTGTCTTTGCTTGCAAACTACTCCCGTGATCCAAGCTCCAGTCTATCCAACACCAACACTCGTCTTAGTTTGACCGTTGGTGTCGTCGGCCTTCCGAATACTGGCAAAAGTGCACTCATAAATACACTTAAAAGGCAAAAGGTGTGCATCAGTGGTAATGTTCCCGGTTTAACACGGTAGTTGTTGGTATTTATTTGATTATGAATTTAGTCAGTCTCAGCGTGTACGGATTGACAAGAACCTATTTCTTCTCGATACTCCGGGTACCTTGATTTCAAAGTCATCTGATGCTTCAGATCTTGTGTTAAAAAATTGTATGAAAGTAAGTGATACTATAAAAGTTTTTTGCTCAAACTTCACTTTTGAAATGTCGGCTTATAGTAATTAGTTATAACTAATGTATACTCCGGTACAAATTTGGGTCAGGTCAGTTGACTATACGATTCAACAGGACGCGATGAAAATACGATAAATCGCAGTCGATGTAGTAGTTGTATCAATGATTGTAGAAAAGATAAAAGCCTGAGAATATAGTCCTTTTATTTAACTGACGTTTATTTTTTATGTAGAATATTTTGACATGTATGTGTGACCAGACTTTTCTAAATGTATGGCCTAAATACATTACATTTCTCAGTCCAACTCTATTTGGTGCCCTATTGTACCACTATTTGTGTTCAAGTAAATAAACAATTTCACCCCATTTGGGCTGGAGTCAATATGAGTATAATTAGAAACGAAAAATAAACAACGGCGTCATTTTACAATACCAACCGCTGACAAAAGTGCAAGAAACATAATAAGGAAATCGCAAAATAACTTTACACCAAATTTAGCTCTACTATCTACATTTCGAATTGTCAGTCAGTCAATCAGTCAGCTACAATGTAGGACCAGGCACATATGTGCATCGGTCCAGGTTGCCATACCGCATCAGCACAACAAGATGAACACCGGATTCACAGCAGTGGTTAGGTCAAAGGTGGTAATATATAAAAGAAAGATTGCATATAGAGATATAGTACAAGAAGAAAGAATTGGTTCGTAGAAAGAAAGATATGAAGTGATTTTAATCTCTTAGTTTAAGGGAAGACAGGGAGTGTATACACCGACGCCATTGTGATCGATTCTGAGCCATGTTACCAAGAGTCTCCAGCCATTGGTTACGAAAGTCACGCGGACCCCAACCAAGTAGTCTGCGTCTACCAACATGGCTCAGACTAAAAGTTAGTGACTTCAAGCACTGATGCCACATTTTGGTTTGACCGCCCCTAACTTTCTTCCAACCATCTCCAATACCGGATAGCATTGCACGTCGTGGTAGTCGGTGTTCAGGCATACGTAACACATGGCCCAACCATCTCAGTCGATGAAGATTCATGACCTCATCAACTGATTTACCATCATTCCCTAATACCCTGTGTCTAACCTCACTATTACTTAGCCTGTGATCCCAACAGACGCCAGCAATATTTCTAAGGCATCTGTGGACAAATACTAGTAGCTTACGAGTGTCTTCTACTCTTAATGGCCATGTTTCGCTGCCGTAAATTAAAACAGAACGGACTGCCGCGCAGTATACTCGTCCTTCTATTGATAGACGGATATCTCGCCTTCGCCACAGGTGACGTAAGTTGGCAAAAGCCAAACGAGCTTTTCGAATCCGTGCTGAGATTTCGTCAGACACCAACCCATTAAGGCTGATCAGACTTCCAAGATAAGTGAAGCTGCCAACGCGTTCGACTACTTCACTCCCTATCCTTAGTTCAGGTGTTGACGCAGACCAGTCCTGAAGCAGCAGCTTGCATTTAGAGGGAGAGAAGCGCATTCCAAACATTCTGGCATTGTTGCTTAGTGCTACCAAAAGACTCTGCATTTTGTCATCGTCTTCACCAAACAGGACTATGTCATCTGCGTATTCTAAGTCGATAAGTGGACCTCCTGGATGGAGATCAATACCCGAGAATTCAGTAGACGAGAGTGTTATTTCCATCAGAAGATCTATGATGAAGTTAAACAAAAATGGGGAAAGTGGACAGCCTTGACGGACACCACTTGAGGTTACAAAAGTAGATGACAGTTCGCCATAAGCTCTGACTCGACTAGTAGTGTTAGAGTAAAGAGCCTTCACAAGGTTTATGTACTTCTGTGGTACGCCTTTCAATGACAGACACTGCCACAGAATCTCGCGGTCTACCGAGTCAAATGCTGCTTTTAAGTCGAGAAAGACCACCATTGTCGGACGCCGATAAGTATGCCTGTGTTCTAGAATCTGACGAATGGTGAATATGTGGTCGATGCAGCCACGACCAGGTCTGAAGCCAGCTTGAGTCTTTCGTGTTTGCAGTTCACGAGTCTTAGTTAGGCGTCTGATAATTATCGAAGCTAGTATTTTAGATATTATATTAGTTAAACTAATCCCTCTGTGGTTGTCACAGGATGATTTTGACCCTTTCTTATATATTGGGACGACAAGTGATTGTGACCAGTTAGATGGGATAACGTCTAACTCCCAGATCTTAGCTAAAATATTAGTCAACCTAATCGCTAAAATTGGACCACCATCCTTAAAGACCTCTGGAGCCAGTTCATCTGGACCAGCTGCCATTCCTCGTTTCAGATTAACTATAGCCTTTTGAACTTCAGCAAGAGTTGGGGGACCTACTTCAATGTTCCATTCACACTGTCAGTGAATGGAGGGTAGTTGTAGAGTAGCTGAAGGCCAGTTGAACTGTTCTCTGAAATGTTCCGCCCATCGTTCTAAACGTCTGGACTGACAGCAGATGAGGGTGTCGTCTTTTTCCGAAATAGTCTGACTTACACTTGACTTACTAATTCCAGTTTCTTTTATTAGTCTGTAAAGCTGTCTTGTGTTCCCTATAGTCGCCGCCTTTTCCATCTCTTTTGCTTTCGTTGCCCACCACTGCTCACGGTCGTTTCTTAGACTTTTTCTTAACCTAGATCTGATTTGTTGTCGTTCTTCATCATGTTCGGAACCTGATGGGACGAGTTTGCGAGAATCCATCAGTGTGATAGACTTTGAAGAAATCCATTGGTTCTTTGTAACCCTGTGGTTTAAATCACTGATAGATGTCACTGCTGTTTCCACAGCTGTTTGTATGGCTTTCCAAGCAACAACTGGGTCAACCTCGTTTTCAGAATTACCTAATTGTGAACTCAGTTGTTCTTGGAACCTATTTTTGGTTTTCTCGTTACTCAACTCAGTTCTGATGGGTCTTTTTACTGTGGCTTTTTTGCGTCCAGTGAGGCGCAAGCAGATGCGTGCCCGTATTAGGGCATGGTCGGAGTCCAAACAGGTACTCCAGAATGAGCGACAATCTTCTACCGACCCTCTCCAACGGTGACTGATGGCAATATAGTCTATTTGAGTCCATCGTTGGTTTGGTGAAGGGGGTCGCCATGTTTGACGATGTCTCTCCTTATGCTTAAAATTTGTGTTTGCTAAAATAAGCGATTGTCTGAGCACAGTTGCAGCAGACGATCACCATTATCTGTTCGCTGTGTCGGAATGCTAAAATATCCACCTAAATGCCTTTCTGTTTGGTTTAAGCTACCTATCTGAGCATTAAAGTCACCCCCTATGAGTACTTTTATTTATTTTAACACATAGATATCAGTACAAGGAGGCACCAAATACATATGCGCCACACAAATCTTACTCGATATGTGTGAGGGCTGTGATACTACCCGGGTGCCCAAACCGAAGCAGGTGGTTTTCTTAGGGGGCCACTCCCCGAGCCTTTGACCTAGAGGTCTGACCCACAAGGCAGTGGAGCATCGTAAGGAGACACAGTCCCATGGTAGCCGGTGACCAACGATTGGTTCATACGCCATTTGTTCCCGCAGGATACTGGAGCCCATGTGCACCATCAGTTTGGGATCCGGTTAAAGCGCCGGACATTCGCTTTTCGTCCTCTCATTTTTGTAAGTAACACCCCCACCACGAGAAGGCAGTGAGTAGGACTTCCTTGGCAGAGGCTATATACGCGTGGCCATGTGAGAGCATTTCGAGAGGGAGAGCGGACTTTCCCCACTCTCGGCCGTACCAGGGCATTTGGGGGCCTATGAGTACTATGTCTGAGCGTTTAGCTTTCTGAAGTTCAGAAAGCTTTCTGTAAAATTCATCTTTCACATCATCTGAGCTGCAGTCAGTGGGAGCGTAGGCAGAAACGACAAAAAGGCAACGACGTGTGTCTCTGTCCTTCCGAGTTTTTACGGAGCCGTTTAACTGAACAGCACATAGACGACTGTTGATGGGGATCCACTCTAGCAGTTCTTGTTCCGCCCTCATGCTTAGTGCTATGCCTACACCTGCCAGTCCACGAGAACTGGCCATCGGGTCACCAGATACATGGAGGGTGTATCTCGTTGGCTCTCCGTTTTGCCGAGGTGAGGTCAAGTGAATAACCACACTGGAATCCTGTATGCGTGTTTCGAAGACACAGCATACATCAATGGGAAGAGACTCTAGGGTTTTAGCCAAGGAAGCCTGCTGACCGATTTGACATATGGTGCGTACGTTGAAGGCTCCAATGTGTAGTTTAGAGCGAGGTTTCAGTAGACCTGGGACAGTGTTTTGAGCACTAGAATCGTTGTCTATGGTGACACTTGAGGAGGAAGCCAAAAGAGGAAGTTTAGAGTGGAAAGTCGATGTAGGAGGAATTGTGATTCTATCTGTGACGTGAATATAACAGTTTCTATTGGGTTTTAAATAGCGACGCTAGATAATGCATAATAAACAGCGTTCCATCCCAGTGGGATACTTTTATCAAGATTAACTTCACATCTGTATGTACTTTTTGTTGTCCAAAATACACGCTTTGAAATCGATTTTTAGGAGTAAAGAGACAGTGTTTACCACTTCATATTTGTGAAACCATCTAGGATGTTAGCTTGTCATCAGTTGTTCCGTCTCAGTTAACATTATCAATACGTTTTATCAGCAGCTACTAATTTTGCAACTGTTTTTTCGAAATTTTAACAGCCAGAAATGCTCCCGGATCCTGTTCCAGCTGTTGAAGCCATATTGCGTCGTTGTTCACAAGCGCAACTGGTTTCTAAGTATAATATTGAAGAGTACAATAATGTTTCAGAGTTCCTAGTTAAGTTAGCACACCGTTTGGGTCGAATGAAAAAGGGTGGTATTCCAGACACCACCATGGCAGCGCGTTCTGTAATTAATGATTGGATTATGTAAGTAACTTGTTGCTGTGACATTCTTTTTAGTGGAAAAATCACTTACTACACGGAGCCTCCGTATGCTGATACTGTGGAAAAAAATCTCGATTTATCTTTAAAAGGTAAGTTAATATTTCCTACAAAGCAATCTGAATTTCTCAACATAAGAAACATCTTTTCATAAGCATCGCTAAACTTCACCACCGTCGTTTGTTTTTAAAGCAACTTTTGTATAGAACAATTTTTTGAGTTTAGAAATATCATTTTTCCAAAAGTGATACAATTCCCGTCTCTACCGTCAATCGATACGTTCGTGCGCTGTGGTAATCATTCGCGACTTGACTTAAATACTGTGGATTTAGCTACTTATATCCTCTTCTTTTCTCTGCCCTATTTACTTATGCCTGTTACCCCTTGCGGGATCATAGGTCACCGACTAAGGTTTTTCAACTCACCCTTCCAGTTGTTTCCAACTGCCATTCATTCTTTTGATGTCTGCTTCCAATTCCGGGAGCAATGTGTTCCTTGGTCTTCTACTTTTCCTTTTGCTTTCAGGATTCGAGGTTAGCGCCTGCATCATGATGCAGTCTAATGATTTTCACAATCTGTTTCCTATCCACTTCCAACATCTTTCCTTAAATTCTACTTCAGCTGGAAGCTGGTTTCGTATCTGACATATTATGTTTTTACTGATGGTGTCGAGCCAACAGACACGAAGTGTCTTGCATAGACAATTGTTCATAAGTACCTGTACCATTTTGATGATGGTTGTAATGGTTCTTTATGTTTAAGCTCCGTACAATGAAACCGTCTTGATGTTTGCATTGAAAATTCAGACTTTGATGTTGGTTGACAGACAGTTGTTTTGAGTCGTAGATGTCCTCCAGTTACAGGAATGCCGTCCTTGCTTTGCCGATCCTTGACCTCACATCTTCATCAAATCCTCCCTGTTCATCGATGGTGCTGTTCAGGGTACGTGAAAGTTTCTATATTTTCTCTATCAAGCGTGATTGGGTTGCTGTTCTCTGAGTTGTATTTCAGGATCTTGCTTTTCCCCTGTGTATGTTAAAGCCTACTGCTTCAGAGGCTTTTGCTACATTAACTGTCTTCACTTACATTTGCTACTGTGTACGAGATCGGAAGGTTACGTTATATGTGAAGTTCAAATCATCTAGCTCTATCTAAGCGCTCCATTGTATTTCGTGCTTCCCATGAGACATGGTAGTATTGATAATTCAGTCAACCATTATATGAAAGAAAGGGCGAGAGTAAACAGCCTTTTCTGACTCCGATACTCACTTGGGATATATCTGTGTTACGTCCTTGATCTGTCTACCTGCTTTTGGTTCTGAGGGTAACTTGTCTAATCTAGATTAAGATTTAACGCGATAGGCTGACTGGCTTAACCTTGAGGCTAGTATGCATGAGTTCGAAGTGGGGTAGAAAGAAGAAAACTATTCTATCACCTGATTGGCTGACAAGTGAAAGAAGACAATTCAACTGGGACACTACTCGACTTATAACCAATTCCGATCTGGTTCCCGATTTCAGATCAGTGTAAAAAGGTACATGAATAAATAGATGACTAACCGGAGCACAACGTACAATAATTAGGAAAATATAATTATGTCCAAAACTGGAGATTAGCGTAGAAAATAGAATACAAAATATTACGTTTGAATTACAATAGCTTTGGAACAGAAAGGGCTATGGCAGTAAATTACGCATCAAACGAAAGCTTATCATCTGTAGAATAGAGTAGAAACAAAAATAAGTATTACTGTTTTGCAAGTTTTGAATTAAATGATATAACGTCCTAAAAAATAGATTCCACAGTTTGTCAAGGCTTCTTGTTTCCCTGTTCACATCAATCTGTTAGCTGCCCTCTATGCACCACCTTGCAGTGTGATCCGTCGTATGAATCTCGTCTGTTGTTGACGATCTCAGGTACACTGTAGTGTCGAATAAGGCTCCATAAGGTTCTCCTATCCATACTGTCAAATGCTTTCTCATGATCAGGGAAGTTAACGTATGTTGGCGAGTTCCATTCAATTGATTGTTCAACAATGGCTAACGCTTAATACGATGTCACCAAAGTATACCGTTTTTATATTGAGCCAGCGTGTTTAAATACCTCATTTGTAGTTATCCAGCTTTCTATTGAGACATACCAACGCAGTCGTGAACAAATATGCGTTGGCCCAAGTTTCTATACCATATTAGCACGACAAGAGATAAAAATAATGTTGTAGCAATTCTAATAAGAAAAACAAAGTAAAAAAGTCTGTATGAAAGAATATTCAAACTCAAGATCGATTGGAAGATAAGGACTGGATGCACCCGCACTATTGTGAATGATTCTGAGCAATGTTACCCAGTCTCCATCCATTAATAACCGTTGTCGCACGGACCCCAACCAGTGAATTTGAGTCAAGTCACCAATTAATGAACTGATACCATGTTCTAGTTTTACCGCCTCTGGCTTTTTTTCAACCTACGACTATGCCATTAAACATTGCCCGTCAAGGAAAGTTGTGGTCAGCCATTATTGACACATGTCTTAACAGCCTTAGTTGATGTCTTACCAACGGATTTGCCCCCTCTTCCAAATATCACGCCTAACCTTAAAATTGCCATTCCGTGCGACGCAAATAATGTTTCTATTAGAGACTAGGTATAAACCTATAGCCAGCTACTAAGTCATTGTTAACGACACTTCTCATCTGCTTAAGAAAACTGCGCCGACTCCAGTGTGCCTTGCGAAAAGCAGGTAATTTATCATGACTCTTATAGACTTCCCAATTGTATTTACAATTTTGTAAGACATGAGTTCTGAGTTTTTAAATGCGTTCTAATTCGTATTTTTCAGACAATGCAATGGATATCTCTGAATTTCCGACAAACTAATAGATGTAAATGTTTGGGAGTGTAAATATAACATATAATGTATTTTGCTTTGACTGTTAAAGATTGATCATTGTTACATGGTTGATAATCGTTGCAATCCTGTGAAGATGTATTCGTTTCCACGTGGTCAATTTTTTAATTATGTGCTTAGATTTTTTACCTTATAGGCTTCATTTTAGGAGACCGTTGCTAACATATTATATAAGGTCAACTGGTGGAGAATTCTTGTATATTTCAGTCGTGATTTTCATTCAACTGGGACTAGTTCATGATGCAAGTTACCTTCGAAAATCATCACTTATTTGTATTTAGTAGTGTGTATTATAAATGAGAAGCATGTGCGACTATTCAATTCTGTAGATGCATAAGTTTGTAAAAACTGAGAAACATGCAACAAATGTTGGATACTATATATAGGTGCCGACCTAATTTTCACTTTGATTCCGTAGACTGCTACAGCTTGAATCTGTTCGTCTTTGGATTAGATTCTACGTTTTATTGAATAAGGAATGGAAGTCATGGTAGTACTTCGATGTAGTCGCGAGCTGTAAAAATGGCTCTTGTTTTTTCATTTACAGCTGTATACGAATGATTGGTGTGATTTTAGTGATAGTAGCACCAGCAGATAAATCAGCTAAGCTCGTGAGCTCTGAAACCTTAGTAGAGGTAGTCGGAGCAATTAACCAGCATTCTAAGTTTGTGTATTTGTAACTCATTTTCAAGTGCAATTTTACGTATTCGACTACATTTGGATTACATTGTGCGTATATGAACCAGTATTAGGAGTTGGTTGCTAAAACTGAAGTTAGCGTGCATCTCAGCACTAGTTGTTTTTTGGTAATTACCCCACAAAATGAAATTATCGTTATACACTGTATTGTCAATATCGAAATTTAACTAAATCCTTATATTTCTAAAACCATCGTCGGTTGTTTTTTTACATATTTGGTATTCATATTCTTAATGTTTTTGTTTCTATATGCCATCTCGACTTACTAGTTATGGTACCTTAAGATTATACTGTTTTAAAGGTCGACTAGATAGAGGATAAAACAAATATACCACTAAGCATTTAGCTAAATAATTATTATATATGCAATCGCTAGTAAGGTTTTATAAACAACTACATTTCCAAAGCTTTTTCTACAACCTGTATAATAAGATACTTGAACTATTTTGTGGTTGGTGATGATTGGCAGTAAATCTCTAAGCTTAGGTTTCCTGCTCGTTGTGATTCGTCAGCAGGTCGTACCTCCAGTCTCAGGGTCTGATATTCCCTTCCTAATTCAAACCCTCGTCACCTAGTTCCACAGCCATTTGGGCAGCGACAGATTTCCAGGACTGACATATATTTATAATTTTCTGGTGACTGTTTAGTGATCAGTGTCATGTTAATCTAATTCTTTGCTGTTGACAGAATTCTATTGATCGAGTTACAATAGGTGCTTGATCAAAGCAGATGTTAGGAAACTAAAGGAAATAGTAGTGACGTACCTTCTTGTTAATATATGGAAAAACACTTTCAGAAATATCGTCCGTCTTTCTGATGTGCTTATTTGATTACGCGGTTTGTTAAGAGGTGTCTGAAACTATGAATTTTTTAAAATGATGAAACTACAGCTAAGAAACCACTAGGCAATAACGGTTGTACTGTCTTTCGGGTCATTAGTATAGATGGCGTACGTGGTTCAGTCGCTACATTGGGATATTTACCCTCAAGCATTTAACGATTGTTCTGTTTTTAGAGCACGCAGGTCCTACGCTGAGGTGAAGCGGCTCTGGTTTTCAAATTTAGTCCATTATAAATACTTTTAAGAAAATATGTAGTCTGTTGCTTCTTTACAAACCATGATGAACATCTCCAGTTTTATGCAGAAACGGTGTGGGAGGATGAGCATTTTTAAGAGAACTAAAGCTGTGTCCTTACCTACGTTACTAAGAAAACAGGTGCGGTATGTGAACTAGAAATCCGGTAGGTCACCAGTCCCAGGTGTGTCGTCACGTGTATCCTGTCGTTTATAATCATTGGAATAGGACTAGTACATTTTGATGAAAGCTGAGTAGCACAGTTAAATGAATGTCACTCAAGAACACCAGAGTTTAATAATTATAAAGTCGAAAGACAGCTCACTAGTTTACTAGAGAACTGTCTAGCTTAAGCAATTTTCGATTAGAAAAGAATATGACAGTGACCTAAACGAAAGGTTATGACTCATAATATAAAACAGCGTTCGTTCTTCACTGACTGACTGTCCAAAAATAGCTCTGTTATTCATCATTGCTTCACTCTTTATGTTGCAGTAGTTGTTCAGTTAAAAGCAAGGAAGGTATCTAGTCTTAAATATTGCGTATCAAACGTAGGTGTAGTTACAGCGGTGTAATAAACTCATTTTCTTGACAGCACTCATATCGTAATAACAAGCACACCATAGGAAAGTAACTAAAAAAGACTAACATTTTTTATATGAATAAAGTTGAACTAGCAAACCAAACATGTAAAGTTTTAAGAGTATTTTGACCGTTCAACTGACAGTCAGTGACTACTAACTAAAAATTAAGGGATATGCTCGTAGGGAATTTACCATCGCTTCTTGATATAATCCTGATTTTCCGATAGATCTAATGAACGCTAATTCACTGGTTAAAACAATGTATCGTTTTACAGTTATTCTGTTGAAGTCAGTAATATGACGAAATAAGTTAATATCACAGGAACGTCAATTAAGACATCTAAATCTCAGTCAGCTACAACGTAGGACCAGGCACTAATATGCATCGGTCCAAATTGCCATGCCGCATTAGCACAGCAAGCTGAACACCGGATTCATAGAAGTAGTTAAGTCAGTGGTGGTAATGTATAAAAGAAAGATTGCATATAGAGATATAGTACAAGAAGAAAGAATTGGTTCGTAGAAAGAAAGATATGAAGTGATTTTAATCTCTTAGTTTAAGGGAAGACAGGGAGTGTATACACCGACGCCATTGTGATCGATTCTGAGCCATGTTACCAAGAGTCTCCAGCCATTGGTTACGAAAGTCACGCGGACCCCAACCAAGTAGTCTGCGTCTACCAACATGGCTCAGACTAAAAGTTAGTGACTTCAAGCACTGATGCCACATTTTGGTTTGACCGCCCCTAACTTTCTTCCAACCATCTCCAATACCGGATAGCATTGCACGTCGTGGTAGTCGGTGTTCAGGCATACGTAACACATGGCCCAACCATCTCAGTCGATGAAGATTCATGACCTCATCAACTGATTTACGGGTATCTTCAACCCTTAATGGTCACGTTTCGCAGCCGTAAATTAAAACAGAACGGACTGCCGCGCAGTATACTCGTCCTTCTATTGATAGACGGATATCTCGTTTTCGCCACAGGTGACGTAAGTTGGAGAAAGCCGAACGAGCTTTCCCAATACATGCAGAGATTTTGGTAGACACCAACTCATTAGAGCTGATAAGATTTCCAAGATAAGTTACGTTGTCGACTACTTCACTCCCTATCCTTAATTCAGGTGTTGACGCAGACCAATCCTGAAGCAACAACTTGCATTTACAGGGAGGGAAGCGCATTACAAACATATCGGTATTGTTGCTCAGCGCTACCAAGACTGCATTTTATCAACGTGTTCACCAAACAAGACTATATCATCTGCGTATTCCAGGTCGACAAATGAACCTCCCGGAAGATCGATTCTTGAAAATTTAGTCGACGACGTTATTTTCAGCAGTAGGTCTATGATAAAGTTGAACAAAAATGGAAATATCGGACAGTCTTGTCGGAAACCACTTGAGTTTGCAAAAGCAGATGACAGTTCGCCATAATCTCTGACTCGACTGGTAGTGTCCGAGTAAAGAGCCTTCACAAAGTTTATGTACTTCTGAGGTACGCCTTTCAATGACAGACACTGCTACAGAATCTCGCGATCTACAGAGTCAAATGCTGCTTTTAAGTCGAGAAAGACCACCATTGTAGGACGCCGATAAGTATGCCTGTGTTCTAGAATCTGACGAATGGTGAATATGTGGTCGATGCAGCCACGACCAGGTCTGAAGCCAGCCTGACTTCCCAGATTTTAGCTAAAATATTAATCAACCTAATCGCTAAAATTGGACCACCATCCTTAAAGACCTCTGGAGCCAGTCCATCTGCCCTTCTTCGTATCAAATTAACTATGGCTTTTTGAACTTCAGCTAGAGTTGGGGGACCTACTTCAATGTTCCATTCACACTGTCAGTGAATGGAGGGTAGTTGTAGAGTAGCTGAAGGCCAGTTGAACTGTTCTCTGAAATGTTCCGCCCATCGTTCTAAAAGTCTGGGCTGAGAGCAAATGAGGGCGTCTTCTTTTTCCGAGATAGTCTCACTTCAACTGGACTTATGAAATCCAGTTCCTTTTATTAGTCTAAATCTCTCTGCATGATGCAAACCAAAAGTAGTGACCTAGTGTTGTTTTGGCCGCTAGACTCTTTTCGACTTATTCGTTTGGTACGTATTATACTGTACCTGAGTGGAGTGAACATAAATATCATGGTTGAAATTTTACAACTACATTAACCTTTATAGTGCAACGGTGAAGCGGTTGAATAGTGGTTACTCAATTTTTAGTCAGTGAGCGTTTTCATATACTTATCAACCTAGTTCGATTTGTTACGGGATAGTATCACTAGCCCCAATAGAAACGATGAGGCCCAAAGCCGATTGATGATTTAGTTTATTAACCATGTATGGATTTATGTACTCGGAGCTTTGAGCTACAGTTTGTGTGACAGAGTACATGAACATGAATGTAATAAATAAGGTAAATCATCATCCCTTACCTGTTATTAATGTGTGACACCCATGCCCGAACCCGATGATTGAAATTGAGGCAATAAGTTATATATTATTACAGTTAAACACAATTTGCAAATGTTTACAAGAAGCGATGAAATTACATTTTGAGAGTCTGAGACAAAATACATGTGGATAAATATGTGAAATTATACAGAATATCTTATAACGCGTGAGACTCGAAAATTATTTAGTCCAAGAAACTTTCTGTATATCGAAGTGTTCAG